GAGTTTTTCCTCCCATCGCTACGCTGAACAGCAAGGGTGGGGGGGACTGTCTTAGAATCCACAGGCAGACTCTGCATTTTAAAGATTAGGCTGGGCTGGGAGGACTCAGGCAGGACGATTCTCAAGCTGCAGCTTCCTGGGAAGGGGGAGGCTGTGGCCAGAAGCTACCAACAGAGAGCTATAATTATCCTTGGAGGCCACGTTTATTTTGGGAAGAGTCTGGCCCGATTCCCAAGGTTATTTTTTCCCCATCGTAGTCTAAATCAAGATGGGGTAGCCTGGCCCTAGCTGTAGTGCAGATTGCAGGTCAGAAGATTTCTTACTCACCACTCCGGGTGGCTGGGGATTGCCCCTTCTGGTTTTTTCTTTGAACCTTAGGTTTCACTGGCCACGTCCCAGTAATTTTGCCTGAAATGTAGAAGGGGCCATACATAGACGCCATCTAGTTCAACTCCCTGATCAATTCAGGATCAGCCTCAAGCATCCCTGACAAGTGTTTGCCCAGCTGCTGCTTGAAGACTGTCCGTGAGGGGGAGCTCAGCACCTCCCTAGGCAGCCCATTCCACTGCTGAACTACTCTGACTGTATATACGTTTTTCCTAATATTCAGCCAGTATCTTTCTGCCCATAATTTAAACCCATTATTGCAAGTCCTATCCTCTGCTGCCCACAGGAACAGCTCCCTACCCTCCTCTAGGTGATAGCCTTTCAAATGCTTAAAGAGAGCAAACATGTCTCCCTTCAACCTCCCCTTCTTCAGACTGAACATTCCCAGTTCCCTCAGTCTTTCCTTGTAGGGCTTGGTCTCCAGGCCCCTGATCGTCCTCATCACTTTCCTCTGTACCCGCTCCATTACGTCCGCACCCTTTTTGAATATTTATTTCTACAAAAAGCCTTCCTTTCTCAACAGCATTCAAAGCGGATTACAAGCACAATAGAACTGTTCAGTCGATCAGTAAGCCAATTACGAAACAGCCTGACATTTGAATGATAGCAACTTTTGAATCTACCAGCAAAGATTCCTAGTAAAATAAAGCTATTTGGTCACTCAGCACGCAAATTACAAAATATGATAGCTTCTCCTGCTTAGAGAGAAGTAGTTGGGGGCGCACAGAATAAGGATGCAGCCATTTTTTAGGATTTTTTAAAAGCTTTGCTGATGGAGAAACCGTGAACAAAATGGGGGGAAGAACCTTGTTTAGGGTTACCATCCTCCAGATGGTAACTGGAGATTTCCTACTATTACAATTGATATCCAGATGACCAAGATCAGTCCCCTTGCAGAAAATGGCTGCTATGGAGGGTGGACTCTATGGCAGGGGCGTCGAACTCATTTGTTATGAGGGCCGGATCTGACAGAAATGAGACCTTGTTGGACCGGGCCATGTGTGTCATAAAACGTAATGCCGGGTAGTAAAGATATAAACTTTATAAAGGACACAAACACAAAGGGTTTTTAAAATTAAAATAAATGCTTAAAACATTAGCCCTCTTGCAGCATTTTGTTTATTTGTGTCTGATAACTGATACCTCTTGCTCTGAATTATTGCATCAAAATATCTGTGCTGTTACACTCTTGGGTATGCTGTTCAGGTGTGTATCTGTAAGCTGCAAACCTGCGATGACGCAGCAGCAGCAGAACTGGAAGAAGGAGAAGACAGCCAGTTCCACTGCGGGCCTGATAGAAGCCCTCCGGGGGCCTGATCTGGCCCCCGGGCCACATGTTTGACACCCCTGCTCTATGGCATTATGCCCTGCTGAGGCCCCTTCTCTCCCCAAACCCCACCTCCCTGGGCTCCACCCCTAAAAATTCCAATATTTCTCATCCCAGAGCTGACAACCCTATCGTACAAAAGATTTCCTCTTTGAGAATAATTAGTGAAATGCTTTTGAGTGCATAGTCTTAAAATGTTTGGGCTGCTCTTTGCCTCCCCCCCCGCCACAATGATTACTAATAGCTCATTAAAGCCATCTCCAGCATTAGGTAACTGCAATTCTGCCTCAGTGGCCCTGATGGGGCAGAAAGGCAAGATACAAATTCTGTAAATAAATAGACAAATTCCTGTGAACCAGGGTAGGTAATCCCTGGCACTTGTGCCAGACAATAGCGCACCAAAGCACTTTGTTTAGCACACCAGGACCTGATCTCCACCCAAACAACTGAATTCACACATTACAGCTGCCATGGGTTCCATGCTTGAAACTTAATTCCCAGGCGCATACAGGCCCAATTCAGGTTAGAGCTGTGGCCAAGAAAGGATGACGGCATGTGCCGGGGGGGGGGTGCCCCATCACTGCTACCATTGCCACTGTCTAGTAGAGGAGCAGGCAGACAAATGAGCAAAGCAGCATCTACATGACAAAGCAGCCCTCCCTTGCTTACCCGCCTGTCAGACTGTCTCTGAGTGCTACAGGTACCCAGAGGAGGCAAATGAGAATGATTACTTGAAGAAGTGAGCAGTGACTTACGAAAGCTCATACCCTGCCACAATTTGTGTTAGGCTCTAAGGTGCTACTGGACTCTACTGCCACAGACAGATTAACATGACTACCAATCTTGATCTACTTGAAACTCCATTGGTGCACTCAGGGGTAACTAACTGCACTCTGCTACAACTCAACAAGAAGGGGAAGAAAGTCCCCAAACGGATCCCCAGGGAAACAGGAAAGTGTGGCTCTTTCCTGATCTGTTAGTAGTACCAGTGATAATAAAACCTACCACATATGGATTACCAATTGGCTGGTTCTTCACAATCAAGACTATTTTTTCACTAGATGCCAGACCAGGGCCTCGGCCACACGGGCAGGAAAATGCGGGGGGGGGGAGGCGTGGCTGTTTGCCCCGGAGCAAACTAACACGCGACTGCGCGATCAGGCGTCGGGATGAGGTCCCGTCGAGCTCCCGTGGTTAGGGGGGAGGTGCCAATCACACGATGCGGCAAAGAAGCGGAGCGGTGCGGCAAACGGGGTTCTGTTTTTTTAAAAAAACCCTGAAATGTGCGCATGCTCCGTTGGGTGCTTGTGCGCATCCGTGGAGACTTGGGGAAAAAAACCGCTTTTTGCGAGGGGACATGGGCGGGCGCCGAAATTACCACCGGAAACGTGATCAGACGCCCGTCCTTGCCCCACGGTTTCTGGAAACTAGTACCTCCGAGGTACTAGTTTTTTACCCCGCATCTTCGGCGGGAAGCCTCTGGTGCGCCACGGGAGCTCTACGCTTCCCAGATGTGGCGGTGAGATCGCGCCCGGAAAATCCACCTATCTTTCGTCTCTCTAGCGTGCCTAATGCTCCGTGTGACCGGGGCCCAGGATGGGTTTTTTTCCCCATATAATGGAGGAAATGAGAGAGTTCTTAAGGATAAAGGAGTTTGCTATCCTAAGCCATTAAGACTTTGGACACTTGAAACTTGCAGCCCATTTTAACTTGCATTTACAGGTCAGGCTTTTCTGTGCCTCAGCAACGGCTTCTCTAAACACTGTGGCTGTCTTTGGTTGCCTTTTCGGCTTCCCATTCCCTCATCTAGAGAGACAGACAGAAAGTGCAAGAGAGCGGTGTGCACTGCAGATTAATCAGTAGTTTCTTAGGGCTGTGCCTTTTGCCCAGTCCAGAGGCACACGGACCCCTCCACTTAACCCCACCCTTGGGTTGGGCTTTTCTAGATGTATGCCTCCTAAGAGTTGGTAAACTAGTCACCACTCCTTCTTCCGAGAGGAAAGAAAGCCAGCATGGTGTAGTGGTTTGAGTGTTGGACTAGGACCTGGGAGGCAAACAAATTAGAAGGCCCTGAAAGTCATCTTGCCCAGGGGCCCAAAAATCTGAAGCCAGCTCTGATTTTGGGGGGGTGGTATCATCATCATCATCATCATCATTGCCTCAAACAGGACAGGACAGGGTATGGCCTGTTTCAGGGAAACAGGTATATTGTGCCAGAAATCCCAGTCCGACAAATCATCAGTCTGCAGAATCCCGACTAAGTGATAGCTAACTCAACAGTGCCACCTACAGTATGAACTCAGATTATCATGCTTACTAATACGATTGTCACATGACCACAAAAAGCTGCCTTATGCAGAGTTGATTGGTCCATCCTGCTCTAGGAGCTGAGAAAAGTTCTTCCCAGCAGTACATGCATGAACAGAAGGGTTTCATGCCTTCTATGGTCCAGCCAGATCAACATTCTAGCTCACCTGCCCACCCTTGTTAAGAATCTGTGACCCAAGAGGGAAATAACTCTATTCACCACATATGAGCAGGCAAGAGGGGCAATTTCCAAACCTGGCCTAATGCCCCGCTGGAATTCTGACATGTATACACACAACCCCCAAACCCAGAATAAAATGAAACAAAAATACAATAAAACAGATCTTCCGACCACAGGTTGGAGAGCAGAGATTTCTGCAACAGCTGTCTGTCTTTCCCAAGGTGTGCTATTTAGTAATATGATATTGCGGGGGACCAGATAACCGAAATATGCATTCACTGAGAAACAAAAAATATGGCCTACATCTGTTAGGGTAACAATAAAAATGAATGAAAATGAACACCATCCATTTAATTGATCTCCCTGGTGTTTGGCACTCTAGCTTAGAGAACACAAGAGACATGAAACTGACACTGGAACTTTCCAATCATCAGAGTCAAGCAGACCATGCAACAGAAGGGATTAAGGGATTGTTTCTGAATGGATGAAGAAAAACAAAGAAAGCCCTGTGTGTTACATCTGTATAAATGGGAATAATCACAAAAATAACAAAAGTGAGTCAACCACTTGAGCCAAAAACAAAACCTGTACCTCCCTAACAGGTCAGCCAGTCTGAAAACCACAACATGAATCACAAATGAAGCCAGAATTAGCCAATGCACTAATGCATCCCCTGAGATAAGAATAGCCCTTACCTCTTTGGGAGTGGAGGCAAGGGGAAAACCAATCCAGCACACTTTGGATGTCACTCAACTATTAAAATGCTTCAGATCGCATTGCATGGAGGGCTTCTCTTACCTCTTCATCTTTAAGGGGCAGGTCCCGGGGAGGAGCCATTCCCAGAGGGGATGAAGTCAGAGAGAGGAGCAGATAGAAGGCAAAAATCAGAAAGAGATGGAAACCAGTTAGAGTCACACCCCAAACAAGCAATTGATATCAGGGAGGGCTCAGTCTACTCTCCAAAGCTCCAATCACCAGGGCTGTTCTTGGAGGTCCTATTGTACCCACCAGAACATGTGAGTACCAAGCACCACTTGGACTCCAAACACATGCATCCTAATCTATTGAATTATCATGGCTTTTTAAAAGAAGGGGGGTTCCAGTGCATACAGGGAACTCCACAGCCCCTAAGAAGCTTCCCTCTGTACTGTAACAGAAGCTCCCTGCTTTGTGTGTGTCAGGCGCCATCAAACCACAGCCAGTTTATGGTGCCCCATAGGTTTTTAGAGGCAAGAGATGAACAGAGGTGGTTTGCTATTGCCTGCCTCCACATAGCAACTCTACGGTTCTTTGGGGGTCTCCGATCCAAATACTAACCAGTGCCAACCCTGCTTAGGTTCCAAGATCTGGCTAGCCTGGGCCATCCAAGTCAGGGCCTACAAATGCAAAACTGAAATTCCTCCCTTGAACCTGCTTCCGCAGCCTCTTGATTTTTTAGGGGCAGGGGTCTTTCATGGATGCCATTGATAAGGTTTCTGATGGCACTTTTAATAAGTGGATGCTTTAAACTTTTTTGCGATCTATATGTTTGTTTTTTAATCTGTTACCTGCCTTGGGTAGGGTTGCCTCAGTACATACTAAATGGTGAATGTTGAGTGTTAACCACCTCCACTATTGTAGAAGCCTAATCGGCAGAAAGAGAACATATCAGTGGAGCGAATAGAAAACTAGTGGAAGAAGAATTGTTGACACTTTATTTCATTTCACAGCTAAAGAGTATCAGCTATCTGAAGAAGCAGAACATGAATGCGGAAGTGAAGCCAGACGTGTATAGCTGCTGCTCATGGAAGATGCAGAACCTTTGTCCTCCTGAAGCTGTTTATACAAAGGATTTGTGGACTTCATTTGAGTTTTCCCTTTGTATCAAGTACTTTTTGATCTTAGCTCTTTAAGAACATATAAGGGTTTGTGGAACTTGAATAAGGATTTAAAACTGTTTGAATTGTTTTGTACATTATAATCTTTCTGCTTTTGTTCGTAATTCATTCACGGAGTGTCTTTATATTGATACAGCCTCCAGGTGATGGCTGGAGATCTCCCGCTAGTACAACTGATCTCCAGGTGACAGAGATCAGTTAACCTGGAGAAAATGTTCCCTTTGGAAGTTGGATTCCATGGCATTATGCCCTGAACCCTGCCTTCCTCAGGCTCCACCCCCAAAACTCCAGGTATTTTCCAGCCTGGAGCTGGCAACCCTAGCCTTGGATCCCAGTTGACTGGGAGAAAGGCAGGCTTGAGATGGCTTAAATAAATTGATATACATAAATAGGATGGTTGTATGCATCTGAGTGTAATTAACATTGTACACACAGAAACAGTATGGTCAGTCTGCTCGGTCACAAGCTTTTGGTCAATTAATTAATCCCAGATAATTAATCAATAAAGCCAGATAATTAATCAATAAAACCAGCTTTTATCTCTTGACCAGCCTCCAAGCAATGAAACTGCTTTTTGGGTCTGATATTTTGGGGGGTTAAAATGATCCATCCAGCTGACAAGGTAAAACAAGAAGGCAACAAATAATGACTCCAAAAATTCTAATTAAAATAAAAGCACAATGTGAGTTCTTGAGGGCTATTTAATATGTGACCTATAATTAAATACCCAGATGCTCGGGAAGCACATCTGGACTAACCTCTTCCCTGTTAGCAAGCACTTCAGGTATTTATCCTCCATAAAGTTATCTAGGCAACAGTTAAGATAATTCCCTCCCCCTCCTAAGTTTACTTGGAGAAGAAGCACAACAGGCAAAAGGACAGTCGATCAAACCACAATGGGATCATTAAAAAGTCTCCCTAACCCTCGATGTCTTTGCTGGTTTATATCTCAGTCCAGGAGTACATAATAATAAGGTTTGGCTCATCTATTGCATAAATGTATCTCACAGGTTGGCCGGACTTCAAAGTCATCCATCCCGTCTCTCCCTCCTCCCCCCCCCCCCCCCCCCCCCAACCAACAAACACTGCAAGAAAGAATCTCAGGAACGGACAAGCCATCAGCCAAGGAGAGTTTAAAGACAAGGTCTGGGGAACGGTGCCATGACCAAAGCTCAAAGAGGATTTCTCCCCTGCTTCTTAATTTCCCCTACTAGTCTTTCCATAGATTGAACTACACTTTCTACAAGAAACACCCACCTTTAAGGCACCAGAGAATGTTGCTGTACATCTCATCGGAGACACCTGGAACAGAGAAGGGAAGAGAGAGAGAGAGACCCATGAGACACTGCAGTGCAGCACTGCGGGCGCAGGAGCAGAGCCAGACCACTGTTGTCTGCTCGAGGTATTGGCCAGGATTCTCAGATCAGGATGCAGGCAGGCTACTGGCACTGCTCAGCCTCCGTATCTTTCTTGGACTACCCTGGCAGGGGTCAAAACAGCCATGGAGTGGACCCCAGCTTGAAAATGGAGGGAAACGTAGCCTCCCTCTGGGCTTTCATCTCCAAAAAACCATCTGGATCCTAAAACGACACAGTGATGACCCGACAGCTTCGCTCCAGGGGCCCTTCCTTGTTGGCTGTGGCCCAGCCCACACTTGGCCCTCCTAGGAGGTAGACTTCAGAGGCTGACCAAGATATTAGGAGGTGGTTAAATGACCAGCGGGGTGGGTTGTTGAATTAATTGGGAGATTTTTTAATAAGAGCAATAAGGAGGAGTGCCATTTGGATTTCGGATCAATCCTGGTCAGGTCAGATGTCCCAGCATGCTTTGCGCTCTGCAGTTCTTTGCACCTCACGGGCGGGAACTGAGCCCATTTGTCTGCTGTGAATCTGTTCAATTTCCAGCCAGTTGACATTCTGGAACCGCACAAAGGAGGTGAAACCAACGGCATTAGGTATTTGGGGCAGAATGTCTCTGGACATGGAAGTTTCATTGAACTATCATGGCTAGGCAGGGCCATAGCTAACATGGGGCCCCTCCCCCTCCCGAATTCCCACATGCCCTGCAGCCGAATCCCACATGCCTTCTCCCAGTCCCCTCACACACCCACAGAGCATGTGGCACACAGAGGGAAGCACTGGAAGAAGACGAGGCGGGGAAAATCGGGCGAAGCCGCGGGTCAAAATGCGGCCATGTGGCTTCGAGTGGGAAATTGACCAATGGAAACGGGGCAAAGGGAGGCGTGACGGCGGCACAGCTCCTTGTGCGAAATCAGCCCATGCTGTTTTTTTTCTAATGGGGCAAACTGCTGCTCCCCATGGTCATTTCAGATAAGGAAAATAGCTCACAAGGGGGGGGAACCCTCCTCCTATACACTGTGGTCTCAATCCAAACTGAGATCCAAGCTGCCCCCACTCAGCTCACCGGAACAGCAAGTTTCCAGCAGGGAATCCCCAGCACACATCTAATAGAAACATGTCTGGAGGCTCCTCTTCCCCTTATCTACAGACTTTGGGATTTTTAACCTGACTGTCGAATACCATGGAAGAAATGGAATTTGTTCATTCAACATTATTCCCATTCATTTTCATCATCCTCATGGACATAATGAGTGGAGCTTTCAGTTATTTCGGAAACAAATTCCTATTGCAAATGCTGTCTTTGCACCCTTTTTGCCTCACTTTGCTCTGCACTGAACAGGAATTGGACACTTGCAAACACGATGGAGCCTTTCCACTGCTCAGGGAAAACACCCAGCCTATAGCTGGGAGAGACAACACAGATTCTCATAACATACCCACAAAAAAAGCACTAAACTTCCCTCGGCATGACTTCATCAGGTCTTCAGTCTCGTGGGAGGGACCAGCATGTTCTAGCCACTGGCCACCTTGCCCTGGATCTGCAGCTGTGGGCATCTGTTCCGGAGGTGCTTCCAACTTTAGCACATCTTGACATGGGATATCCATCCTCAAAGAATTCCAAGCAATCTTTGACTCTGCAGGAGAATCCAGCCTTCCTGCTATCTCTCCTGGAGGCTGCAGTGGGCTGATAGGCGTGCACCCCATCATGTCCGTAACTGGTGGGTTGCTGGACTTGTGGCCCATGACTTCCTGAGGTGGCAGGCTGCTCAATTGGCTGTGAATCCATTCTGGAGCTGGTGGGCTGGTGGGCTTTTGCCACATCCATTCTGCAGGTAGAGGGCTGGTGTTTTGCTCTAGAACCAATGGGCTAGTGATCTTTCTGGTTATCTCTTGTGGATCTGGAGGATGGGTATCTGTCTCTAGTAAGGACCACCAAGGGGACTGTGGCCCAAACTTAGCTAATGGCCTAGGAGGCATAATACCAGGGGGCAAGGCCACCTCTGTGCATGGTGAGGCCCAGAGGCTTACATCTCTGTTTGGATAAAGACAGGGCCTGACAACTGGCTTGACTTCCATGCATGGTGACACAGAGAACAGTTCTGTTTGGGTTGACATGTTCTTTGAAGAATGGCAAGGCCTGTGGAAGTATTCCTGATTCAGCCCTGATGAAATCCCGAGAGACGTTTCAGTTTTCCTGGACAGTGAGCCTCTGTGGGGAATTTCAGACCCTAAAGAGAGGGTGTGTGGGCAGGTGTCCTCCATCTCTAGATTGAGAGGGCATCTGTACTCAGATTCACTTTCTGGGTGAAAAGCAGGCTTGTAGGCTGACCAGTTCTCTTTCTGAAGAGAACCCCTTTGGTTAAGAGGAGGCTCTGTTTGGAGGGAGCTCCTCCTCAACTCAGGCTCTGTGAGAAGGGAGGCCCTGTGAGCTGGATCAGACCCTTTTTTGAGGGAACCCCTTCTCAGTTCATTATCAGTAGACAGAGACCCTCTGTGAGGTAGTGCAGTTCCTGGAGAAAATGAATTCTTATGGGTTGCCTCCATCGCCTCATGGAGTGCGCACCTGTACTCAGACTCGCTTTCTGGGTGGAAAGCGGGTCTATATCTCAGTGTGATCTCCGGCTGAGGAGAAACCTCAATGGTGGCTGCAGGCAAGAGGAAAGTTTTACCAGCCCCCCTGGCTTCTGACTGAAGAGGTGCCTTGGCAGTTGTTAGCAACTGTGTCTGAGGAGGTTCACTTTTCGCAAAGGACAGCCTATAGATAGGTTCCGTTTGAGTGCATGCATCTTTCAGAACATGTCTGCGGATGAGTTTTTGGGTTGGCTGAGGTAAATTTTGCTGCACTGATTCAGTCACCGGCATAAGAGAAGTCTTGGGGGCTTGCAGGAACTCTTTTCTCAGATCAGTCGTTTGGGTCGATTCATCTTTTGGGTTGGCAATGGGTCTTGTGAAGCGTTTTGTGGATGGCTGAGGGGCATCACGTTGTGGTGAGGATGAAAAAATTAATTTGTTCTCCATTTGGGATTTTCCTGGCCTTGGTACCATTTCTGGTCCTGTCTGGTGTTTCTGGCACACTTCTTCCCTCTGGGAATTAAGGCCTTGCTGCATTGCCAACAACGTCCGGCTGTGGGGCACTGAAAGCTGCCCTGGCTGGAGAGAATATCTTACACTCCGGTAGACCAGAATCCCTGGGGGTGAGATGTTTCTGTCTGTTAGCCGTCCTTGTTGAGGACTGTCGCTCTCTCGAGCACTGTGGGAGAGTCCACTCCCTTGCCTCGAGGGGTCACTTTCTCGACGGGACGAAGCACTTGAAGGGACATCGCTTCTTCTCGGTGGAGAAGAATTCCGTGAAACGTTGCTCGGTTGCCTTTGGGACGGTGTCTGTGGAAAGTCACTCCCTCTTCGCAAAGTGGTATCCTGAGGGAGGTTGGCCCCTCGTGGAGAAGAATCTCTTCGAGCAGCCTCACTTCTTCTCTGAGGAGAAGCATTTTGGGAAAGATCACTGGCTTCCCTCAGAGAAGAAGCACCTTGAGAGAGCTCACTTCCTCTTCGGGAAGAGGTGCTTTGCCTGACTTCGTTTCCTCTCAGGGGTGAGGCACTTCGAACGCCATCATTTCCCCTCAGAGATGAGCCTCTTTGGGCACTATTTCCTCTTTGAGGTGAACCTCCTCGGCTACTGTCATTTCCTCTTGGGGGTGGGGCGGTTCTTGGGACCTCGCTTACTCTTGGGACTGAGGTGGGCTGCAAACTCATTCGATGGTGCTGAGTTCCAGTGGGAGATGGGTTGCTATTGGGAGGATCACTGCTTCTTCTAAAACCATCATTTCCCCTCAGGGATGAGCCTCTTTGAGCACTGTCATTTACCCTTGGAGCTGAACCTCCTCGGCTACTGTCGTTTCCTCTTGGGGGTGGGGTGGTTCTTGCGACCTCGCTTACTCTTGGGGGTGACGTGGACTGCAAGCTCATTCGATGGTGCTGAGTGCCAGCAGGAGATGGGTTGCTGTTGGGAGGATCACCGCTTCTTCGAAAACCATCATTTCCCCTCAGGGATGAGCCTCTTTGCGTAGTGTCATTTACTCTTGGAGCTGAACCTCCTCGGCTACTGTCGTTTCCTCTTGGGGCTGAGGTGGTTCTCTGGACCTCACTTACTCTTGGGAGTGAGGTGGGCTGCATGTTCATTCGATGGTGCTGAGTGCCAGCAGGAAATGGGTTGCTTTTGGGAAGATCACTGCTTCTCCGGAATGACGAACTTCTATCGTAGCCCCGTTGGGATGGATGGCTCTGGGACAGCTGGCTTGCTGGTTGGCCCATGAGCCGAACATTTCACTGGAGTTCTGCAAGACTGCTCTAGAACAACCAGTTTTAAGAGCAGGAGATCTTTGCCCTTCTTAAGGGCTACATTTTCCCAAGAGCATAGCAGTGGCCTTTCTTGATTCTCTGTGCTCTGCACTGGCCTGGGTCAGCTAGCTCCCAATCACAAAGCTGTGATGTCACTCTATTAGACTGTGACATCATCAAAACAAACCATTGCAAGCATGTCTGCCCAAAGGCAGCAGGTCAGCTGGCTCCTGAATGCGCAAAACACTAAACTGATTTCCATCTTTAAATACCTCAGATACTCCAAAGAATCTGTCAGTTTCCAAGACTTAAAAAGCAGAGCAAGCTTATAGAATGACACTCGAAAGAGATGAAATCTTTTTAACAAAATCAATAAAAATAATTAAAATGGTGCTTTGCTTCAACTTAAGAATAGATTTTATTTCGCTCTCTGGCCCATTCTCTCTCTGGCTGAGCCTTCTTTCAGTCAGCCTTCTTTCATCAGCCACTGACTGCCATACAGGAGCCCTGCAGGGCCAAACCTGCCCTGAAAGGCTGCCTGTATACATTACAACACTTCCACAGCACAGTGGGGATTTGAACCCAAGTGTTTCACATCCGACTTCATACTAGTGTGAGCCAGACCTGAGTGGTGGAGAAGGTAACTGGGCCAGAGCCATAGACTGTGTCCACAACAGTGGGAAGACTCTAAATAAAAGCCTCCAAGATTTGTTTGCAACCAACACTGGCTCTGCCTCATCATTTTGCACTGCACAAACTCATCCATCATCAACAGCTGAAGATGAAAAGTGTGCTGTCTTTAAAGATTATACCTTCAAATGCATCAATAGCATTTGCAACAACCCTGTCAGTTGGCCAGACCTGTTTTCTCTTCTTGGAAGGGAGACTGAGGGTTGAGGGAAGCATGCCTGAAAACACCTGGTGAATTCACAGTGCAGGTGCCAATCCTGGCTTGGGAAGTTCCCGGAGATTTGAGGGCACTTCCTAAGGAGAACAGAGTTGCGGGGGGAGAATAGAGCTCAGCAGGGATGTGATATCACTCTCTGGGACTTCAATTTATTCTAGACTCTATGGTACCCATACAGTCCGCCCACTGAAGCTACCATGTCCTCCTGGTGGCATAGGCATTTATCTCTGTAGTCTAGAGAGGAGCAGTAATTTCAGGAGAACTCCAGAGAGCACCTTGAGGTTGGCAACATTCATTCACAGTTGCAGTGAGTCTTGAACCAGGGATTCAACCATTGACACTCTCTTTGCTACTACCATTCATAATTTGGCTCCTGGCTTGGGTACTCCTAAAAGCAGTCAAAGGTGGAATTATTCTGCATATGCTCTGGGGCATTCTTCTTTCTTACACATGCCCACATTTGTCACAAAGTTTTTCCATATGCTGCTAAACTACCACGTTACAACTCTAACCCACTGCAATGCTCAGAAAAGACAGGATAAAATTTCTCCGTCCTCAGATTCATAAGAACATCAGAAGAGCCCTGCTGGGTCAGACCAGTTGGCCATCTTTTCCAGCCTCCTGTTTCCCATTGTGGCCAACCAGGTATCTCTCAGCAACTGAGATAACAGAGATATACATACTACTTCACATGAGCCATTCTGACAGATAGATGTTGAAGACTGTATCCAAGTTGAAATAAGACCAAAGATCCCATCTATCCCAGCATCCAGTTTCCCACAGGGACCAAACAGATGCCTTCCAAGAGGGCCTGCCAGTACACCTCTCCTCCATGAAGCCCTCGAATCCAGGGGTCATGTCGTAGAAAAAGCTAGGGGAACTAATTAGCATAACTCATTAGCATATGCCACACCCCCTGACATCAGGGGCCCGGCGGTGGACCTGCAAGGCCGGCGGGAGTGCAAGGAAGCCCCGCCAAGGCCCTCCCTGGCCCCAGGCAGGCAGGGGTGGGGAGAGGCAGGGAGGAAGCAACTTACCCTCCCTCTTCTCCTGCCTCCTCCTGGCTGAATAAGGGCCGGAAGCAGGGCGGCCAGAAGAAGGGGGCGTGGCTTCATCATGTGCCCCGCCCCCCTGCACCTCACCCGGGGGAACTGCGTTCCCCCACGATCCCCCCCGAAATGACCTCTGCTCAAATCCCCTTTTCAAGCCATCCAAACATGAGTTCCAAATGTTAATCATGCATCTGTCCTCTTTGTCCGTCTTGTGTCTTTTGGCCATCAACTTCCTTAGGTGACCCTGAGCACTGATTTGAGAGAAGAAGAAAAAGTTTCCCCTCTCTCTCTTTCCGCATCTTGCATCATTTCGTAATCTTCCATCATGTCTCCCTGTAGTCATCCTTTTGTCTAAAGTCAAAATCCCCCAAATTTTCCCATTAGGGAAGATGTTGCAACACCTTGATCATTTGCCCTCAAGACGAACTGACTCCTAAAAGTAGGATGCTTAGTGCATCAAATTCAGAGATCTGGGAGATTAAAGGGGTTAATGCTTCACTGTAAAGCTGTTTCATTGAGAGGCTGCTGCCTACTTGCACCCCTCTTTCTCTCTGATTGGTCAGCACCAGCTGAGGAGAGCTTTCAAAAGTCTTTTCAGAGGAGTTTGGACTTTGGCTTGCCAACTGCCAGTCAGGAGGAGTGTATGTGTGTCAATTTGAGGGAAACAAACAAATTCACTTGGGAAGTGAAGGGACACAACTCCTAGCCCTTACTATGTACCAACACATTTGAGGAAAAGTTCAGAAATCAGAACGTAAAGTCTAAGTGTCAGCCCTAGCTGAATTCCATTTATTCACAGTCTCCAGAACTAGGGTTTAGGTTTGATAGAAGAGACTGGACAGGAGGTTGAAACTGGCAGCCTAGCGAAACAGAAAAGGATTATTGTTCCTAGAAAGAGGAAGGTATTTCTTACCCATTTATTCAGTGGGTTCAACCCAGAAGGGACCCCTGGTTTGTGTGAAAAGGGAAACCATTTTAGACTCCTCAAGAGTAAAAAGGGAAAGTCCCCATAAGGGAAGTATTTAAATACAAGAAGAAAGTACTAACTTCCAGGAAACTCAGATAGTTATATGAGGCTATATTAAGACACATGGGTGCTGAAAGAAATCACCAAGGCAAACAAACCTCTCACAGTTAAGAACTGAGTCTCTAAGAATATGAGCTTCAACTATACTCTGATGCCTGTTCAAAATAGTCATAATCCATATAAACAACAAAATTCACATTTTCTCATTCCCTGCCATATTCCTAACCCAATTGTGTGTGTTCAATAAAGGCGGAATCTGCCTTTGTCTTTCCCACCAATGTCCCAGCCTTTTGACTCAGTCTTCAAAAAAGCTGTCTACATTTGGTGTCCTTTTCACACCTGAACAGTGCTAACATACAATACACCTGAACAGTGCTAACATACTTTCGCAGGTCCACATATGTTTATCGTCCTTTCGGGGCAGCTCCACTGTCCTTGCACCTTTGCACTGCTTTAAAAGAATCTTCTCCAAACACCATTCAAACAAGCATAGAGAAAGACGGCGTCACAGCAGCACGAAAATGATTTTAAAATGCAAATGCAGATTTGCCCAAAATCAACCTTTCTGTCTGACCTTTACTTCGTGTCAACTGCCATTTCCAAAGGGATTTATAAGAGGGCTCCTGCTTATAATCTCTGGCCAGGGCAAAAGCCAAATAACTTCTCTGTCACAGGGTGGGACACGCAGAAAGTTATAACTCTATTATGAAGACACAGTACTAAGAGGCGGCTCAGTCAGAGTGGCGGACAGCGTTTTGGCTGGAACATCGACCTCATGGTGAAGAAGACGAAGCAGGGGTCAAGCACAGCGCAGCCCTTTCCCACAACATTCCAGCCTGCCTGAAGGCCACCCTCCTGACGATATGAGAGAAGGCCCTCTGCACATGCCCAGGCGCACCCAAATTCACTTCGCAACTCCACAGCGGAAGCATCAGCAG